TATACGCTCATATTTTTACTCCTTTTTTAAACGTACACTCTTTCTCTCTTATACGCTCATATTTTTACTCCTTTTTTAAACGTACACTCTTTCTCTCTTATACGCTCATATTTTTACTCCTTTTTTTAAACGTACACTCTTTCTCTTTTATACGCACACATTTTTACTCCTTTTTTAAACGTACACTCTTTCACTCTTACGCACTCCATTTTTATCCTCTTTGTCTCTTACGCACTCTCATTTTTACTCCTTCTCTTTTAAACATACTCTCTTTCACTCTTACACACTCTATTTTTACCCTCTTTTAACTTTCTCCCTTACGCGCTCTCATTTTTACATAACCCCTAGATTTACCTTAACACACACCTGCCTTTGTACTTTAGCACTTTACTTGTACCTTTAGCATTTTACTATACTTCCCTGCTAGTGCCCAAAGATATCGGAAGCGCTCTGTAAATTGGTTACTAACATATGATAAAACATATGACCAAAACTTTTAGGATAAAGAGTATTCAGAAATGAATATTGAATTCTTTTTAAAGAAAAATATCAGATATTAATAAATCTAAAGAATTCAAGCAAAAGGGTATTATTTTTAAAATTATTTTTGGGTTATATATTTTATGGTGAATCTCAAGTTGACTCTTTTTTAATTTTTCAACGATAATTTTTCAAATTTAGATCAGCGATAATGACTGGCATTATTTAACACTGCCGTTTCGCGTATTATATGATGATCCTACTTTGAAATCTCTACCCATAAATTCTGTCAAAATGAATCAAAATCCATAGAATACCTAATCGCGGCACTTAATAAAAACTCTTTTTTTTTAATTATAAACGTACTTATTTGCTGGTGATAATTTTAAACCTCCAAATGCAAAAACAGTGATAATTCAGAAGCAAATAAGAATCAACAAAAGAAGGTATACTTATTTATGTGTTTTGTTTCTAATACATAAAAATCGTATTTATCTAATACTTACTTTAATTTATCTATAATGTCCATACTTATTTAATTAATATCAATTCTAAAAAATATTTAAAATAGGTGTTGACAATTAATATTAAATAATTTTAAGTCCTCAAGAAGAATTATTATCGGTAACTATTACGATAATGAAATTGATAGCGCCACGATTCCTAGAGATTATACAGAAATGGAAAAATTCATTTATTTTTATGAAGCTATCTTGAAATGGATGGTAAATATTTTAAGTTTTATATGTTATTGCATGCACTAGAAAAATGCAAAGTCATAAAATCACTCTGAATTCTCTAATACCAGCTTCGTGATAACGCCAGAAAAATGGCTATTACAAGAAATTATCGAGATAATTTTTTATTATGGAAGGGTGATTGCGATTCAAGAAGAGACAAAATTATCAGAGTTCACACATAATGGGTTAATGCGTTTTGATTTATATGTTTTTCTTAATGCTGTAATTTGAGATAAAATGATTTTACGAAGTTACGATCATTAGTGGTATTAATCAATGAACTAAGCATAACTATCATTTCTAAAAATTTTCAAAAACATTTTTTTTTTTATAATAAAGTTCTTATTCGATAATTATTCGATAATTATTCGATTAGTCATTGGTATAACAAATATCTCAAATTTTCTTTATAATATAAGAAAATTAATTAATATCGCATTTTAAAACATGTAGTAGTCAGATATTAAGGACAGAAAAAAATTTTACGTTTTATTTTAAAAATTAAACAATTCCATCCAATAACCAAAAATTATAACCAGCAGAACTTAAGCTTTTAACGCAATTTGAAAAGACAAAAGTATTACTAATACTAGAACCAGGATCAATTAATCCATTAAAGACAACATCAATCATTTCATCATCGAAAATATGAAAAATTTTATGATCATTAAATAAATGTTGTCTAACTTGAAAATAAGAAACTGGTTTAGAATAAGATAGAAAAGCTTTTGTATATAAAGGAGAATAACAAGAATTAAAATTTGATAATTGTTGTTGTTTACATAATTTACATTGAAATATATTATTTGATTTCATGTTACAAAGAACGGCCTTTTGAACAGATAAATTTTTTGAAGTAATAGAACCGTTAATTATAAAAGGTGAAAAAGTTTTTTTAAGATTTAAAGCTTCGTTCCAAATTCTTGGCATTAAAGATTTTTGTAAAAATTCATCATCCCATAAATTATAAGGATCGTTATTATGAAAAGGTGGGTTTTGAAATGAGGGACACCAAGGAAGATATTTGCAAAGTAATGAATGTTGATCAAAATTAATAGAATTCTCGAGATTGAATGAAGAATTTAATGTAGAACTACTTGTTGAATTTAATGAATTTGTAGAAAAAGAAGGATCGGTTATATCGTTAATGGAAGGGTTTGAAGAAATAGTAAAGGAAGTCGTAGACGTAAGTAAAGGATCATAAGAGTTTGTATAAATACAATCAGGAAAACTAGAAGTAGAGTGTGTAAAAGCTGTAATAGTGGTGTATATAGGTAAAATATCCATATTTGAAAGATTTTCAGTAATCAGATTAGGAATAGTATCAACAATACCAGAATTTTCATTAATAACATTTGAAATCGAATTTTGTTCCTCCACAATAAAAGAACTTGCAGAACTTAAAGAAGTGTCAAAGATTCCGATATCAGATGGCGAAAATAATTCGGAAGATTCAATTGATTTAACTGATTCAGGTAACCAAGTTTTTGCTATGAGATAAATATCGTATTGCCTCATTTGAAAAACGGTCTCCCTTGACCATAATTTTTCCCTTTCTCTACGACATTGTCTTTTACGCTCATAAGATTCCTCGTACTCTTTTAGTAATTTGTTTTTTAAAAGTAACCAAGCACGTTCAGTGAATGGAAGAGCAGATCTCCGAAACATAAACATATAATTTTTATAAGTTTGACAATCCTCAAGAATTTCCTTATTAAATTTCAAACAATTATTTTCATTTTTTTCATCTTTCATTGATAAAATTTTTGTTTTAATTAAATTTGAACGTTCAAATTTCTTTTGAGAATTTTTCATATTTTTCTCTCTTAATCCTTTGTTACACTCCTTTTTACGTTCAATAATATCTTTCATTTTTTCATCACCCTCTTTTTGTCTCTGTTTTAACCAATCTTCACGAAGTGTTGGAGGATCATCAGGAATTGATTTATATTCGGCTATTGTTTCAATAACATCGGCTTTCCAATAAAGACTTGATGGATTTTTTTCGGTATCACTATCCCAATCTCGTCTAGACCATGATGGTATGAACGGTAATCCAGAGATTATCTCATAAAAATTAGGAAATTCAGGCATAATGTCTTCAATTTGATCTTGCCTAAATATGCAAACACGAACGTGAATTTTTTAGTATCTTCAAATTCATTAAATTCACTTAATAAGCATAATAAGCATAATACGTATAATACTGTACATGTAAATACCTTATTGTTCTTGATTTTAAACAATCTTCACAACATCTTACCAAAAATTCAAAATAAACTTTACGAATTTTTGGTTTTTTACAAAATTGACAACCTCTTTCTAATACAAGTTTAACATATTGACGTTCATTCATACATTCAGGTGGAGGCATTTGTAAAAAAGGTAAAAATTCAATTCTAGAAGTTCTCCAAATTTCTTGAGTAGTAGTTGAATTTTCGGAACATAAATAACGATTAAATAGCTTACAAACTTGAGCTAAAGAAAGTAAATCTTTTGGTGGTAAGTATTGACATATATTTATAAACATTTCAGGTGGAAGAGTTGGAAAAATACAAATTCTAACAGGAATTTTTGATTTTTTACTTCCACCTTGACAATATTTTTTACGTAAAGACATTATGGTTGTTATAGTTGTTATTTGTTATAGTTGTTATAGTTGTTATAGTTGTTAAAGAATTTTAACAAAAAAAAAAAAAAAAATATGACGTATTTTTTTTTTAATGATCGGGTTTTAAACGTTTATATAATACATAAGCCGAAATTGTAAGAAAGAAATATTGTACTGAAGAACAATTTCATTTTTTTTTTTTTTTGTTTATTTTTATTTTTTTTTAGCCAAGAACATTTACATACATAATTAGATTGGTGAAACTCATAATAGATTTAAAATTTCCGAACTTATAAAATTCATTACGATATGATAGTTAGTACAAATTGGTTGAACTACAGAGATAAATGTAAGATAGGAAAAACTGTTTGAAATTTCAAAAATGCATAATATCTTTGAATGTATTTACATAAGTACATACATATCATATAGCAAATGATAATCGTTTAATAAAATCGGCGTAAATATGATTCAGCCCATCATATTAAACTAATTGTAGTACTGATTCGGAGATAGTGTCAAATAAATTTCAATGTCGGATATATTTACATCTAAAAGGATATTTATTCTAAATTTAGAGACAAGATTACGTGAAAATTTCTTTGTTTATCACATGTGATGTTGCGTGACGTTACATTTTTTATTGTTAGTTTATCTATTTTAGTAAATTTAATCTAGTTTTGTCTTAGATTATCTTTTTCAACAATTATAATTATGGTTAGTACAAAATTTTAGGTTACTATAATATTGTTATATGTATAAGCAGATTTTTAACAGATTGTTTCCTATTATTCGCATGTACAAATAATTATTGCAGTTTACGTAATTTTTTCATTACTACATGATTATGTTAGATAATTCTTTAAATCTAATTTATCTAATTTATCTAATTTTATAGTAATTTTTAATAGCAATACGTAGTAAAATAATACTGTAATTCAGGAAAATTTTCAATCCACGCGCATCTAGTTAATATTACTTATTATTATTATTAAGTTATTAAATTCGGAGAATTTAATTAACCTAAGCAAGAAGATATATGGTAACATCTAATGATTGGTCAACCATAAGAATTTGTATATAATTGGAAATGGCTAAGGCCGTGCACAGTCTTATAATTATTTAATTGGAATTAGGATTTGTTTGAGATTAAGTTTAGGTTAGGTATTGTACGTTTGTAAGTACGAACATGGACAAGATTGCTTCGTTTCGTTTGACCATGAAAATTCATTATTTGATTGGCCAGTTATCATGTGACTTAACATGCCTATAATTGGTCACATAGCTGATATGAACAACATGTGACAATTTTTTTGACGCTGTTTTTCAAAAAGGCTTACCACGTCAACAGTTTCAGTATAACGCTTTTTTTGAAAATACGTATGTGGAAACGGCATTAATTATTATTATTATTATTTTATTTGTAAATGGTACATTCTTAATAGAAAAATGTACAATATGCTGTAAATATATCTATTGCAGTATATAACCAATTAGAAATTGGCCTGCATTAACTAAAGCGAGCTTAAACCCGTTAAGCATTACACAAACATCTGTAATATACATGAAAAAAATTAAGTTTTTTACTATTTATGTCTATACTTTGTCAGTTATACATAATTAGTAAAATTCTTTGTAAAAGTGTTCTGCGAATTATAGATCACCACCAATTAAATAAACTCAGGAGATCTAATGAAATAGACTTTAGTCAATCACATGAGCTTTCCATTGTTTTGTTTGATCATATAACTGATATCTGCATAAGCTGCAATGCTATCTCTATGCGATGCCTCGTGAAATTTATTATATTATCCAATACTCTCTGCAGTACGTATTTTTTATAATAAGACTTACACAACATTTAGTTGAATGGTTGATGTGTCGATATCATTTATTGATTCAAATTCAATTTATGCATTTGAGAAATTTTTAATTACAAAGACAATAAATAAACCCTAAAAGTCCTGAGTTTGAGTTAACCAACTTCAGAAATTTGTATAAAAAAACTCGATTTAAATCGATATTGGTTTAAAAAATTGAAAGCTTCCAACTTGTTTTTAGCTGCAGAATATTTTTTAAAAATGAAATTTAGTAAAATGTTTTTTACACTGGAGTACGTAATACAATTCTATTTTAATTTATTCTATTTTAATTTTATGTCCATTACTTACTCATTCACGCCTATACTCTACCAAATATAACGTATTATGGTTATTAATATTTGGAACAATCCTATTAATTGATTCGTGAGATCTCTGCAGGGGTATTCATATGCTATGCATATATATATAATGCAGAGGTTTATGGAACTCATAAGTAGATATTGATTAGACGTGCTTGTTCTTTACTCAAATTATGTTCTTGTTTAATGTTTTGGTGCGACTTGAATATCAATACTTTATATTTATTGAATAAACAATAACGATAATTTAAATTAGAGTGGGGGTTCCTTAACTTTATGTTCGGTCGCAAGGGCGAAAGCAAAATTAAACAAGAATTAAAATCAAACAATATATATATTATTGTAAACAATATTAATTTTAAATTTATGTTCCATGCATAAACGTCTACACAATTGTGGAAAGCCACGTTGAATCATGCATAGATGTATGCATAGATGTCAAGAGAAATATGTATAATGGTTGATATTATTACAATAAAATAAAGTATATTGTTAGGGCAAGACTCGAATGTCAATTATTGTCATTTTATTACGATTTTACCTTCTACTCTATTCTAACTATTCCAAGAAAACATGCCTACTTTTAGTGTTATAGACTTCATTCGATAGAGAATCTTAACCTAGAAAAGCTGAATTACAATCACCACCTAAATTTTATTAGCGATACTAGCGACCCATGAATCTGATCAATCAGGTTGTAAGGTACCTATATTCACTTTCCAATAGATTAACGAATACTATGCTAGGAAAATCACCCTTCGGGATTTTCAGATCGGCTAATTCGGAAAAGATTAGCCAGTTCTTATTCATATGTAAATCACCTTTTGCTTTATTGATTCGATAGTTTATTAAATAAAATGTCGAATCAGTAAAGTAAAAAGATGATTTACACATGAATAAGAACCGGCATTCTGGTTTTTTTGAATTAGCCCAATCGGACAATCCCGAAGGGCGATTTTCCTAGCAAAGATCCCAATTATTATTTATTTACTATATTTGTAAAATCGATATTAATATCCGCTCTATCCATTTATAGTATAACCAAAACTCATTAATGAGTTGTGTAAACAATCACAATTGTTAATTAGTAAGATACAAAATTAACTATACTATGTCACTAAACATTGGAAGAGTTTGTGTATCGAAGTGACGAAAAAGAAATTTATTCAGACGTCAGCTAAAAACAATTAACATAAACAGTGACTACCTTTAATAAGGTCTTTATGAATAAATTTCTTCTTATTTCTCTCATACGTGTATTGTGGACTTCATGCGTTACATGTTCACATGATTATGTCAGGGTTTGGCATTTTATAATTAGAATTATATTAGAATAGCATTTAATCAAGAGATAACATTCGCCTTGCACAAAGGATTTTGAAATTTTTGTGGACATAAAAAAGGATGCAATATTTTTACGCATGGTCTATATCTAAATATTCGCACATATTATATATTAATATTCTGTCTATCTCTACGTGTTATATTTTTAATATTATGAATTACTCCAAAAAAATTATGATTTTGCGTTTTAGAGGATTATCAATTCGAAGTGAAATTTCCAATTAGATTCAATGGCACTATTTTAAAATTACATTAATTTCTTTTTGTAATAAATGATTATTATTTATTTACTTAGTATTCATGATCGTAGACTAAAGTAATATTATGTATGTAAAATATACTTTATTTGATCCACAGTAATTAACAGACAATAAACCTTAATTTTTTTTACAAACTTGAAACACTTCATATTCATCTATAAAAAATGATGCGCTTTTGATTTTTCTATCATATGAACGTTGATAACAACACCATTTCTTAGTAGCTTCCATTAAAAGGTCACTATTACTAAACTGTGGACCTTTTGATCTATCATAACAAATTGCTTTTGATGATTCTTTTACACGACTAAGGATAGATTGATTCATGTTTCCATTTTTTAAAGAGAAAATAAAACTATCAGCTGTTTTTGCGTATTCGTCATATTGAGCATTAGAAATTTTCCAGATAAGGGGATTATAACCGCCGAGTATTTCATCTGTAATACTGACCCTTAAAACAACAATAGTACCAGGTATATTATCACATAGCCTATGAAACACATCATTTGTAAACCCATCCCTACTGCCTCTAAGTAAAAGTTTAAATTCATATGGAATTTCTGTGGTATCATAAATTGTTGTACGTCGGTCAATCCATGAAGAAATCTCTGCCATATGCTGTAATGTGATTGTGAAAGATATTGGATGATGTCGATAGATGACCGATAATTTTTTGTTAATTTGAAATACTTTTTTTGTTAATTTGAAATACTTCATAGTCAACAACAGAAAACCAACCGGTTACGTTTCTGATTGGATTACGATAAGAATGTTTTTCACAATACCATTCTTTAGGATTAGTTCCACTATCATTTCCCATTCCAAGATCATTACCAAACCATGGTCCTTGTGATATATGACCATTCCAGATTCCATATGGTTTATTAAGCACTCGAATAAGAATAGATTTTTTAAGGTTTCCATTTTTTAAGGAGAAAATAAAGCTATCACCTGTCTTGATATATGTGCCACCAATATTCCACGTGAACGGATTGTAACCACCAAGTATTTCATTTGAGTTATTAACTTTCAAAACAACCACAGTGTTAGGTATGTTATCACATAATTTGTGAAAGATTTCACCTGTAAAACCATCCCTACTGCCTCTAAGTAAAAGCTTGAATTCATATGGA